TGTGTGTGTGTGTGTGTGTACAGTAGCAAGTGGAAACATTCTTGCATTAGTCTAAATCTCCTGAAAGGGTGACAACTTCCTTCCACAGGGCAAGTGTGAAACAATGGTTACTTTTTTTTAAATGATTAACTTTTCCTTTTTCTCTGACATACTGTATGTGCATGTAGAGTGTATGTGCTGTTTATTGTCTTTATAACTGATTGACTGTGTGCACGAGTTAACTCATGGCAAATCCAGATTTGCAACATGACAATAAAACAGTGGGAACCATGCTGACCACGAGATAAAGACACACACACACACACAAAATGTAGATTATCAGAAAAGCATCCTCCCCAGAGAGGAGAGAGAATGAAGAGGAGGACAAAACAAAATGACTTCCTTCCTGTCGACTAATATGAGTCAGTGAGAGTCGGCTTTTATGGTAACGTTTCTGCACATGTAAACCTATGTATGTGTGTGTGCGTTTCTGTGTGTGTGTGTCTGTGTGTGTCTGTGTGTGTGTGTGTGTGCGCGTGTGTGTGCGCGTGTTTGTGTGTTTGTGTGGGGTCTCTGCACGTGTTTGTATGAACCCACCAGTCCAGTCTCCCACGACTCGGAGATGGATGCCAAAAGTTTTCTTGTTCTTTGTGGGACACTGCGAGGAGTTAGAGAGCAGACAATGAGTCACAGCGAAACACACACACGTGCACAATTCCAACCAGTACAAGAGGCACAGACGCCTTTTTCATTTATTTTACAATGCGTATGCACACACACATGCACACAGACAGAGCCTTCCTGTTGGCAGACGGCATTATTAGCCTCAGGGGTCTGTCTGCTCTCTGTCAGGGTGATTCTCTACCCTCCTCCTCAAAGCTCCATAACACACCAGGCGCAGGCATGCACAAAGTATTTGTGTGTGTGTGTGTGACTCTTTGTGAGCGAGTGTGTGTGTGTGTGTGTGAATCCCTGTGTGCTGTCGAGGCAGAAAGTTGTTTCTTTATCTTCGGATTCAGCCTCATACAATCTGGACTAAAATCTGCAAACATCAATAAACAATGTGAAACTGAATATTACTGGATGAGCCAGCTGTCAATCAAATGTCTGCTGACAGTGGAGGGGGCAGGATGTTGAGACAAAGAACTGCATGTTCTTTGTTGGAGGGGGGGGCGCATTTAAGAAACTGTAAAAACATGTGTGTGTGTGTGTGTGTGTGTGTGTGTGTGTGTGTGTGTGTACACTGTGTCATGAGTGAGGAATGTGTTGCAGCAACTTGGTGGGTTACATTAAGTCTTACCGTCGTTAGGGTGAAGGGATGGTTCTCAAACGAAGAGACACCTGGACAGTTGAGAAGAATATACTGAGAAAAAGAGAGAGATGGAGGAAGAGAGAGAGGGCAGAAAGAGAGGGGGCGATGAATAAAAAAGGATGAAAGAATGAAGTACAACTGAGTTGCAGCAAAATCCTGTTTGGAGATAAATCCTCGCCATGTCCTCTCACCTGCCCAGGACGAGCTTTGAAGTTTTTCTTTAGCATCCGCAACTCAATGACATCACATGGATGCCTGTTGACTGTCACCACGGTAACTGGGTCACTGCCCCTGATGTAGCGGTAGAAACGCTCCGCACAGTAGAGACAGAGAGGACCGGACACCCACAGCCACGTCTGAACACACATGGAGACACAACGCAGCACTAAATAACACACAAACCTGATCATCATCCCAACCTGAGAGCGTCCACATCTTCTTCTTCTCCTTTTAAACATTTTCTTTGATTTCTCAGAGAATAATTCATGGATCTTGATTTTTAAAAATCAGAAAAGTTTTTATGAGTGTGAGCAATTTGGTGCAGGTCCAAATAAGAGTCTGGATGTAGTGAATCTAAATGAGGTTTCATAAGGAGACTGTTGGGCCTTGGTGGAGATATGTGCTCTACTGAGTGACGTGAACATAAACTTTGATACCGTTATATCTGTGAAAGGCTCATATTTGCCAAATCAGCCAACCTATGAGAGACTTAATGCTGACTCTATCTCACACCCTCTCTCAGTGTGTGGGATTTGTTTCTCCAGTTACCTGCCGCAGACTAATTGCTCACAGCTCCAGTAAAGCCTGGGAAGCACAACCGGGTATAAGAGGGATTTTATGGAACCAGCTCGTTGCTTAACAACCACGTGCAAACACATAATCACACACGCAGGAAGAAACACACACAAACACAGGCCTTGATGTAGAGAGGATGTCTACTCCTCCCTTACAGCTCTACACCTCTAATAAAACCCTCCTGACACTTCGCAAACACGCAGCACACGTGAACAACACTTACACACCCACTGCAGCACAGACAACTTTTCTTTCAGCCCAAACAAAAATAAACGTCAATGCCAGGGTACACGTAATAGATGCCCACACACACACAGACCTGGGGGTAGTGAGGTTGGAAGTGAGCCTCCTCTCTGCATCTCCTCTCCTCATCTTCACCCTGCTCCAGCTCCTTGTCGTGCTGCCCGGTGTTGCTCTGATTGGCTCGGAGGCAGCCAGGAGGGTGGGTCTCGATGTTGGTCTGATACTTCAGAGCTCCACTGTTGGAAAAAATCAAAGTTGGACTTCAGTTGGTGTTGGTTTTTTTTATTTTACAGTAATTTTTTATAAGAGTTGCTTGTCACCAGCATTACCACCAAGTAAACGGGGGGTTTAGAACAGGCACTGCACTAACAATAAAAGTACAGCTTCCTGTTATAGTACAATTTATCCACACTGTATCTATCACACTACAGCACTGAAGCAACAGGACTATGGTTGATGGACTGTCAGCAAAAGTGAAATAAAATCCTAATGATTTCACACAAAAAAGGAAAAGGACATTGCTGTGTTGAAAAAGTGGCATGAAGTGAATTTTATAAAATTTGTACAAAAGGATCCATATTGTGGCTGCTGAGGAAAACATGAGTTTGTCAGGTTGAAGTTGCTGCAGGAGAGTTAGAGATGTCTCCAGCTGTCAGTGGGAGTCGGAGATTTGCTGACTTACACAGGTGAAGCTAAATTCTTATCTCATCCTCTGTAGGTGGTTGATAAGACGGGGACAAACTGTACCGACAATGCAGAACAACTTGGCGACTCCTACAGGGATAAAGCCACATACACACTCAGACACACAGATTTAGTGCTGCCATCAGCGGACTGAGACGCGAGACCTACCCGACCATGTGCACCATGAGGATGATGTAGAAGACGATGAAGAGGTTGTGTGTGTACCAGAAGATCTCATAGTTGGACACCCTGAGAAAAAAGAATCACGACATAACAAACTATTACTTCTAAATGAAACCTGGGATGTTTAAAAAGAAGAAAATAAATGAATGCAATGAGTCAAAGAGGAATAAAAACTTTGTCATATGAACATGATGGAAACAGACGTACAAGAGAAACACAAAGAGCACAAAAGAAGAAAGGTCTGAGCTTGTTCAGAAGCTCAGAGCCTGAGTAAGCAGGACACCAGAGGTCAATATTAAAGGGGTCATTACACACAATGACCCCCCCCATAAACACTACAAACAATGAACATCATCAGACCCTGTATTCTTCCTCTTTGACCGCAGCTTCTTTCATGTTTGTTTTCTTTGAGTAGATCCTGTTTCTGTGCCGGGCTGAGCGGCAGCATTCACGTTAAATCATCTAAAAGACCAGCGTTCACTTCCTGTTAGGTCATTTTCTCAAAATCAACTTTGGTAACATCTTGGTTTATACTGTAGTTCCATATTTATAATCAAAGCAGAATTACTTTTACAACTTGTTTGGAAAAAATGTGTACAACACTTCACCTTTACAACTACAACCTACAGAAATACATGACAAATGAGCTGCCTTGCTTCCAAGAAACCAAACCAGAGTAATCTTCTTTTTAAGATCATTTTAAGACCATCATTATATGTGGTGCATTACACATAAACATTTTATTACTTACATTCCTGACCATTGTGTCAAACTATTTGCATTTTTCTTACATAGTTTCCTGTATTTTAAGGACGGGTGGGAAACATGTGGGTAAACAAATGAAAATCATCTTCATCAATTATCTGTCTTTTGTTAACAACAATAATTATGAACTTAATTATGAACTTTCAGAGATACTGTAAGTTACCACAGTGGAGGAGTTGTAAGTATTAGAAAGACGTGTATGGACCAAGGACACCAGACACTAGACTGGAGGAGCCAGGGATCAAACCACCGATCTTCTGGTTAGTGGACGGCCCTCTCTACCTTCTGAGCCACATCTCACATACGAATATAATTGGTTATGATGTTAAATGGTAAAACTCTATATGTTAAGAACCCTGTGCACATTAATGTGTGTTAATATCAGGGGATCACATGGGACTTATTAGGTGGGTATTCCTCCGCTCTGCTGCAGCCATCATCCCACCTCCCCAGCCACTCACCCAAACTCTTATCTAAAGCCTTAAGTGGTCTGGAAAAGCCTCTTATCCTCTGTTCAATTAGTGAGGGAAGCAAGAAGAGCGCGCACACACACACACACACACACACACACACACACACACACACACACACACACA